TTCTTTGACGTCATCTTTGTCTCTCACAAACACCTCCCAGTGTTCCACAAAAGACAGTGTGTGGAAAGATACACCAACGCAGTGACAACATTTAGCACAAATGATGTTGCCAAAATAATTTAAAAAAGAAAACAATGTGGATTACTCATCACTATTAATTACTGCCTGCTTTTTGCTCAGATTGCTACTGTAGCAGAACTGGAGGATGACGAGTCAGTAACAGACACACAGAAAAGGCGGGAGCTTCTCTCCAGGCGTCCATCATATTGGTGAGAGGATATGAAGAGTAAGCTAAATTGTGACATATGTTCATAAAAAGTCTGCTAGTGTTAAAAGGTCTTTATGAAAATACTTTATTTTGTTTGGCAGGAAAATTTTGAATGAGCTTTCCTCCAACTCACCGGCAGTTCCTAAAATTGAAGAGGAAAAGACGGAGGATGAAGTGCCAGTTTCCAACTCCCCCACAGTGCCAACCTCCATCTACCAGACCAGCTCAGGACAATACAGTCAGTACACACGAGAATGGCCCACTCACTATAGAGTCATCTTTAGCATTTTCTGCTCTGGCACATACATTTCCAGAACTGTGCAAAAACGTTTTAGCCACACTTCACTATTTATACCGTGCTTCCAAGGAGCCTGTAATTTTTAAAGTGGTCTTGAGTAATAGTTGTCCAGGCATTTACTTTAGATATTGGCAGCTTTTTCACTTCTTTTCAATCCAGTCCTTGTTCCTGACTATTTCTGTTTCTTTCTTTCTTCATGAAGCCAATTAACACTGACCTATGAGCTATGGGGAACGCTTCATGAAGTCTGTTAAAAGAAATTCAAAGAAAGCTTGCCTAAGAGAGTTCAGGCTGTGAGGAGAACAAAGGCGGTCATACCAAATATTAATTTTCAAATTTGTTACATTTGTAAAAACTCTGTTTTTGCCTTGTGTACCAAATTCCCATTCATGTTTTTAATGTTTCCCAGAAAATATAAAGAAGTGAGGGTGGCTCAAGATTGTTGCACGACTGTTGCATGTAATCAGTTCATTGGGTACATGCAATTACAGGAATTATTTCATTGCTTGAAGAGATTAGCAAAGGTATTCCTTTCCTTCCTGTGTACACATTTGGAAGCTTTAAGTGTTCACAGTGGGTTAACTTAATAATTATCTAAGTCGTTTAGAGAAAATGCTCTCCAATAGCCTATAGAGCTTTATGGCTCCTGTTAGGACCATAAAGCTCAGTGAGCTATTGGAGCAGAGAAAATCAAATTTCAAGCATTAGATGTTACTATTTCTTCATTCTAACTTCATGAAATCCCCTACACAGTTGCAATCACCCAAGGGAGAGCCATCCAGTTGTCCAGCCCTGGAGTTCCAGGTCTACAGGGGGTCCAGAACCTGCCAGTCACAAGTAGTCCCACCCCACAGCCTGGAGCCGCTGTCTTACAGTGTGCAGCTCAGCCTGGAGATTCTCCACAGCAGCTCTTTATCCAGGGAGGACAGGTACTCATCCAAGGTAGGGTGCAACTTTGAATTTATATCAGAAACATCC